CGATGCAGGGAAGCCGTGAGTAGCGGCGGTGGTAAACCTTCAAAACGTTTGACATGAAGGACCTCTAAAGTGCGATCACAGCAACCACTAGATGGAGACACGGGTGCGGCAATGTAGGAAACGGGGGATGTTTGCTCGATTATTAGCTAAGGCCCAATGTATTTGTGGAGAAACTTTTCAGCTCGTTCAGGTTGTCGGGAGGGAGTCAAAACCCAAACAAGTTGACCAGGGACGCAGGAAGTAGGGGTATGACGCTCGTCGCAGCGTTATTTGGCGAACTGTATGTCTTGACCTGCATAATTGTGCGAGCTGGCGGCATTCTCATGAGCTATCATCAGCCAGCACTCTACATTTCCTCTCCAACTTTCCTCTCACATACGTTGATCGTTTGGCATCCTTCCGCATAATCGTGGCCAACTATTTTTAACAAACTCCTCTCACATATTTCTTTTCCTCTTTCCCGCTGCCTATGTGAGTCTTTCCCCTTCCTGGATGATAACAATCTGCATGGCATTAAACCCTTTTTCCCGTTTTATACAACACATCTCCCCCCTCCCCCCTACTTACGGTTTCGTTTGGACTGTCTTAAAAGGCAACTGGAAATAGGTTGTTCATGGGGGAGGAGACTTCGCGACCATACAGGGCCCTAATATATGCAAAGGTAACAAATCGTAGTGTAAGTGTTCCCGTTTGTGTGGACGGAAGATACATACATAGATATCGTGTCGGCAAGACTCTTACGAAAACGTACTGTTAAACCGTTAGCTTGTAGTTAATAAGATTATGTTTTCTTGTGAACTACTTTACATAATGATAGCATCAGTTGTACTGGAGTGAAACTGACGACCTCTGTCACTTCAGCGGACTTGTGGCGCGCCATGGCGGAGAAGTATAATGTGAATAATGAAATGCGCAACTTTCTCAGATGTTGGCGATGTTAATGCAGCAGTTTCAATGTATCTGGTTTAGTGGTAGACAGTTCTAACAATCCAGAGATTGCCGTGGAATAACAATATAAATGGGCCTCAAGCGTGTTTCACATGCCGCGATTTTGGCCCTAGAGCGGCGCGATTTCTGCCGTCGCGGCGCTCGTGCCGCTCAACCGTTGGTGCGGGCCAGAGCGCCGCAACTACAGAAATCGCGCCACTCTAAGGCCGAAACCGCTGCATGTGAAACACGCTTAACGGATCGATTCCCACTGCTTGGAAGGGCTTGCTGGGGCAAAGTAATGGTTGAAGATAATCAGCAGTGCAGTGGTACTAAGTTTTTGATACTGGCGTCTCAAACACGTCTGGATATATCTGGAGACAGAAGTCAGGTGTTCGGGGCCGAAAGGATTGTTGCCTAATCTGAGCATATATATTTTTATATCCCATATGCTCTGAGGTGGGCGCTTTATTGAACGATCGAAAAATGCCTTCCCGCATTTGGCGAGGGACAAGGATCCGGCGATTTCCGTCTGGTGAAAAATTGTTTCGAAAAGAATCCTTCTAAAAGTTAAAAATACTGTAACTTTTTTCGCAATATTTATTGAAAGAATAATTGGTTTATTAAGATTGTTGATTATACCTTTCGTCTATGGACCCTTAGAATTTTCTAGAGTATATAGGAGATTAACTACTGAAACTTCAGAAACATCGTCCACACAATCAAGGTGCTTATCAGGCATGCAGACAGGAAGTATAGTGTTACCACTGCAGACAGGAAGGATTGTATTACCATTGGCAAGTGCAGGCGCGGATCCAGAACTCGGTTTTGGGGGGGGGGGGGGGGGGGGGGCGGGGCGGAAAATTTGTAGTTGTACTATTCTCCCACTCTTTCGTGTGCACCGGGGGGTCCCCCCATGTCAAAATGCCCTCCGAGAAGCGGGGAGGGGGGGGGGGGGGGGGTCGACCTTGTGTGGGAGGGGAGGGGGCGGTCGCCCCCGTCACCCCCCCCCCTCCCCCCCCCCCCCCCCTTGGATCCGCCGCTGGGCAAGTGTTAGTATAAAATGAAGGGTGATGAATCCTTGAGTTAGTAAGATATCTGGCAAATCAGTTACTACAAAAGATCCTAAAACACATGACTCACTCTAGAAATCCATCACCAGTGAAGCCAGAGGAGAAGCAACGACATCTTCGCAAACACGTAGACTGAATTTGGAATAATTTAGTTAAGTTCACGGCTGTTTGAACCTTCCAGGAAGACCTATTGCATTTGCAACTGATGACAGCTTCCGCTAGCTTGAGAAAATTCCAACCCAAAATCAAGTCGAGGGAACGTAACAAGACCATAAATTGAATAGTCTGACCTTGTATAAAACACAGGCCGTGCGCCGGGTGGCGGAAAGAATGATGTCTGTGGATGTTGCCCGTAATGAGCATCAATAAAGGGGTGTTTTTCGTGCAGGTGTAAGCTTATGTCCTCTCTAATAACGGAAGCAATTTTACTTCTGTCTGCAGAGTCGTACAGAAGTAAACCGTCAAAATGTACCTTGATTAAATTGGATGGGTCAAAAATAGAATCACGAAAACTCTTATGTGGCGCAGATGCTCCCCCAACAATTGCGGAATTTAGTTTCTTATGTTAGATCTTGCTTTCGTTATTAAGGCCATGGACGAGAACGATCAAGGATATGTAGACGGGGACCAGCGGCGAGGAGGATGCTAACGAAGTGGTGGAAGGGCTTCGAAAGACAGAGACTGATCCCGCATCTGGCGCCGGAAATTTGTGTGGTTGGAAGCAGGTTGACCCCTTCGCTTTCGCTCGTAGTAGTGGTCACGTGTGTCCTAATAGTGTTGCCTTCTTCGGCAAACTCGTACCGCGTGGCCTGTAGTTTTGCACTAATATCAGATTAGCCATGACTCCTGTACCTCATGCTGTGTTGACGTCGGATGAGGTATTATTGCGCCAGGCAGGCAAGGGACCACGGTTCAAGTCGGATGAAATGGCAGCCAAGGCTGGGAAATCCCTGGTGATTTGAGGAATATCAGAACGGCTATTATCATCAAAAGGAAGGGTCTCATCAGTCGCAGAAAAGAGTCGATGACTTGATAGGGGTTCGACTGCTGAAGCGAGCTCCTGCTGGATGATGCCACGCGAGACAGCTTTGGTGGTTTCATTTGTGGTGTTACTTGGAGTAGGTCTAAGAAATAGTGAAAACTCATTTCGTACGATCTGTTGTATCATTTGTCTTAGAGAGTCAGTGGATAAGGAAGGTATTGTAACTTAATGGCTGTCATGCAGTGCACGAAGTTGAAGGCGGGAGTTCTGGGCGTCTTCCAGTCGTCGGCAGTGACTGGTGATGTCTTTGACGGAAGTGGGGTTTTAAAGTACGAGGGCACTAGATTCCTTTTCAGTGATGCCTATTGATAACGTGGCGGACACGGTCAGCCTAGGACATGTCTTAGTCAAAACGGCGGCAAAGCGAAAGGACATGTTCAATGTGAAAATGTAGGTCACACTGGAGGACTGAATCATTGCTACCAACTTCCGTTCTGCTTCAGCGTTGCGGTTGGCTGGTTTGCCGAAAATTCCGGCTAGCTTGGTTTTGAACCTGCAGTCATGTGGTAATCCCAATTTCGTGATTGGTAAACCATACATTAGCAACATGGGAAATATCTGATATGGCATTGCGCAGTTTGACTGAGCCCTTCACTTATTTTAAAGGCTAACTAGCTCGTAGGTGTTGTGATAGGTGTCGCTACCATTAGGTTGTATATATATGTGAGAGAGTAAAGAGGCAGACGAAGTTACTCGTTTTGTTCCACCCGGACCAGGCGCGTGTGTGTGTTTGTTCCTCTCTGACCTCGACGGTCGCCGGTCTCTACGATAGACGTTGAGCTAGTCTTTCATGTCGTCTTCTCAAGCTCCCGCAAATACTTTGAGATGTCGGAGCTTGCTGGGAGTAAAGCTGTCTGCAGCGGCTGGAGCTTCCATGTAGGATTGTTCATTGGAGGCCATCGTTGTTGGTATCCGTCTTTTTGGAGCTCCAGAGTGCAACAAACTTGTCTTTAGGGAGCCTCACTTGACCTCTACCATATAACGTGATAAAGACAAAGATCCTGCGACTAGTTCCAACGATTTTTTTGTTCGAACAAACCCGCGCTTCCTGGCGAGGCTCGACCGGGCAGCGCGAGTCATCGGCGATGATAATGGTGGTTCACGATGACGACGATGAAGACTCCTTTAGAATATTTACTAAATCGTGTGCATTGACCAAAACCCCTGACAACGGAATCGTTTAGATGCCGTAATGTAATCGTAAATGGTTGGGGACAGAGCCTTATAAAGCTTTATGTGGGCAGCCAAGGAAACTTTTTCCAAATGAAGATATGTTTTTTATGGCGTTGATATATACATAGCACATAGTACAAAATAAAGCTGGCGCTGTAAAGCGAAACTCTGCAGAATGATAAAATTAGTGCTTCATACTTTTCTGAGCATTGAAGTATGGCAGCGAGTAAAAATTGAGATCGAGGATTGTTTATTAAATGCGCGTCAGTGCTACGTTACACTGTCAAGACTCAATGTAGACAGCTTTCCGAGAATGGTTTAGGTACCTGGAATCAGGCATAGTGAAGATAATTTTATTTAGGCAGTGTTGAAAAAAAAATGGCACCCGCGAAAACGTGGACTCAGCACAAAGTAGGTGAAGGAACAATGTCAACAACGGAATCCGATAAAGTATGTGCCAGGTAGTCGGCGGCAGCATTTTCAAGGAGGCGTAGACATTATTCTAACGGGGATGGTTCCACCTCGCCTCTTCGATCAGAGTGCCTGTCTCGTAGATAGCAAGGCTTGATTTTCAGAAAGTGCTGTTGGAAGTAGACCGTGGAGATGAATGTCATTTGCAGCGCCAGTTTTTGTAGAATGTGCACGGGGGTAAAGTAAGGCTAAGTCAAATAGAAGGACACATAAGTTGATTCATACGTAGTTAGTTGAAGCAGTGAGCAATTTACTAGGAACGGAACCCACTGGTTTTAGCTGAAGGAAACTACAGCGTACTTTTGTTTTTACAGGTTCAGCATCTTCGACAGTTTACGCATAAAACTTATGCATCAACTCAAAGGTAAGGCCTTTTTACATCCTGTCTTACAAATAAATTTTTATATCGGGGTACACACATTTCACTATAGAATATCAGACTTTAAAACGCAATTAATGTCTCCACGATGCAAAAAAAAAAAAAAAACGCTTTCATGGTGTCTATTTATTATGTCTGAAATAATAATCCATTCCAAGAGAATAACAAAAAGTAAAAAGAGTCATTATCGCGTTTTATCTTACGCTAAATATCGTCCTCACAATCAGAAGAATGATGATGTCAATGATATTTTGTTTAAAGAGTTGCCATCCCAGGCAGCACGCCAGGGAAATGCCCAACTTCGCCCGAGTTGGGAATCATAGGAGTCTTACTTGGGCCTAATACAGATTTGCTTCAACGTGCGGCATAGTGCTTTAATTTTGCCCTAACTAGGCTGACAAATGCTAAGACTGACTTCTTATTTTTTTGTTCCTCCACGTGATTGCTAAAAGGCCAGATATAAACGAAATTTACACGTGACAACCAATACACCTGCACAATCTGCAGTGAATCCTAATTTTGGCATTTGTTGTAATCAGGCCCACAGATTACAAATCACAAATGAAGAACCGCGTTGAAAAACCCTAACTTTGGGACTTGTTTGACTATTTATGCTCGAAGATGCCAGGTGGAAACCGATCAACCGGAAGAAAAAAATTTTAATTTCTTCAAGAACTGAGACCCTAAAACGCAAGGTTGCAGCAGAACAATCAGCGAAGTCTAACTCTGAAACTTGTTTGGAAATTTATTTCCAAAATATACAAAATCTGGCCAAAAATAGCGAGTTTGGCCTGCTACTCCGTAGGCTTTCAGGTTTTACCCAAATAACACCTTAAATATCTGTCGGCAGAAAAAAATACAAAATCAACTAAATCAAAAAAAAAAAAAAACGTTGAATATTGACTTGCAAAAGCCATTTTCGCCGAGCTTCCTCAAATATAGACGTTCGTAAAAGATGTTATATTACAAAGAATCATGCACCCGGCTAGTCTTCACTGAGCGATAGCAGTGGGTTTTTGAAAACAATGCCGAAGTGACTGTCCTTCATGGCAGAGTTATAGGTAGGGATATTTCAGGACAGTGGCTTTACAGGTCAGTCACAGTTAGTGCCCTTGTTTTAAGCATTCAGGTCAGAACAAAAGGAAAGTGTTAAAAGCTTTTTTCGTGATTGGTATTTTTTGCTTGTTCTGGAAAATAAAAGTCAGTAAATTGTGGACACTGTATTTGACACCATTCTATTTTGGAAGCTTCATTCCAGGAACTGGACGCTGCTGTTCACGTGGTCATTTTTTGTATTTTCCTCCCCAGCGCGAATGTTCAGCGGCGTTCTTAAAATTGAGGTATAAGGTTTAAAAGAGCAAGCAGAGAGGGACGATAGGAAATAACACATGCGACAAGGACAAGGGCCTTATACTTACCATGAACTAATTAGCCCAAACCAAAGTTTTAATTAAAATTGAGCACTGCGAGCAGAAAGGAGCAAGCAATTATGACGAATACGAGTCTGTCAGTGTTAGCGTGCTTCTATTATAACAGTCAAGTGTAAAGGTTGGTTGCCCGACGAGATGAAAATTTATTAAAAGATGTAAATAAAATGTGCAATCTTCATTTACTGTCTGGAGTATTTATGTCCATTTATGTTTTTGCCGATAATCGCCGGTTTGAACGCCTACACGAGACAATTTACCGAAATTTGATTGAGCTTAAAAATAAATAAATGCGGAGAAACATCCGTCGATTTTTCTTATAAATACGAAACAGAGAAGTCTGTGCCCCAGTAATTGACGTCGAGTTCTTTGGATTCGGGGCACTAAATTGCTTCACAAAACCACACTTTGGTCAAAAGAACTGAGCTACTTCAGATCCGTACAAGAAGAGGTGTGTCTTATACCCGTGCCACACAGGCAACTCGAATGCCATTTGCAACGAATGATATTTCAACGATCGGCCAATCAGCGCGCGACACTCTGAGTGTGGGGCGGTTCACGCGCTACAGATCGCGAGCCCATTCGTTGATCACACGAATGCCATTCGTTGTAAATGGCATTCGAGTTGCCCGTGTGGCACGGGTATTAGTGTGCGCGAGTGCGTGTTAATATGTGGGCGGAATCATTTTCCAGTTGATGCACGTTTGATCGTTTCACTGGGAATGTGTGCGTGTGTGTGCGTGCGCGCGCGCGTGTGTTTTTGTATACTGAGCAATATTTAGACAGAAACTAACTGAACATTAAACCTGAAATAGACAAAAAGAACTCGGCGTCTTAGGATTCACCTTATCAACCACTACAGACGTCGGGGCACGAGCGTTTTGCGATAAAATGAAATGACCTAATTGCCAATCAATATTCTTTTGTCCTGCGCAGCTCAATCAGTGATATGAATGCCAATGCCAAAATGTGTCATACCAGTATATCCTAGAAAATTTCTGACTGGTAAAGCCTTGTAGTTTGAGGTATCGCTGATCCCCAATTAAAGATTTAATAAATTAATTAATATACACTACCAGTCTTGAAGAAAAGTCAGAAGGGTGAACTGGCAGAGTGCAATAGCATTCGTAGTCACAAATTAATATATTTTTCACTGTTTGCAACTTTCGACGATAAACAATTTAATTTATCATAGCTCGTTACAAATTAGAGTTGCAAAAATATATCTTATGATGAGAACTAATCTAATTTGTTTGTGTTTAGTTATCGTTGCATTTAAAAAGGTTGTTTTAGTAACATAATTGTAGATATGAATGAAGTAATTCTCATCTAGCAAGTTGCAGACAACTTTAACCAAGTCACAATTTGTCCAGTAGTTCTAGGTTGACTTAGTGTTATAAAATGCTAGTATATAGGAGAGAGGAACTAGCTTTAATTTTACCACTTTATATTTCCTTCACTTATTTCGTTCTGCTTTCTCTTCGAACCAGAGCACCAATATGTTTTTGTATTGTCGCAAACGACTAAAAATGATCCACAGGGATTGTTCTAAAGCGTTAGGCTTGCGAACGGCGTATTTGCCGAGAAAAAAGTATTTCCAAAAAGTCAGGTTTAAAACGTAAAGACCTGCCTTTTTGTGATCTAGATCTATCTAGACCAGTTAGCTAGATAGGAAAATAGTGTACCCATTTCCTTTCTGAATAACTTCAAAGCGGAAGTGTCGCTTAGCTTTCTTTTGTTCCCCTAATTGATTACGGCAAATATGGGCGCTGGCGTCTGCCAACCGGCCAATCGCACACTTATTTTGCTGTGCACTTGTACGGGTATTTTCTTCACGTTCGCTCAACGCGTCACTTCTCAGATTGCTTTTTTTTATCTCTGTTCAGTTTAATGGTTTTGATATTTTTAAAGTTATGTTGAACAAAACTAGACGTGTTGCTCTCCTTGGTGGGCGACGGGAGAGATAACCCAAACTCCTTGATGACTCCACAATCGCCTTATCAAAATTCAAAAGCTTGCATCGAAAGGAGACAAACAATTCGTCGGAGCCCTCGCAGACTTCCCCATTTTCGCCATCCTTCTCAATGCCCTCAACACAGCCGCCAAACCCCGGCATTGTAAAATGAAAAAAAAAAATGACAGGAAACATTTGATGTCTCATCCTGAACACTTCCGGTCACTGAGTTGTGATATTTCAAATTCGGTTGTATAGCGCGTTTGCAACGGTCGTAATCTTTTTTTATATAACTATCATCAATATTCGGTACACGCATGCAACTTGCAACATATTTAATTTTGTGAAAAATGAATTCTCCTACGATATGATTCGATATGAAAAAATCAAAGTGGAGCCCGGATTCTGAGATGACGCAGATCTGTAACAAGCTCTTTCGCACGCGAGAATTTTTTTTCGCGATAAAGTGCTTTTGGGGGTGAATTCTACCAGCTCTTGAAGTTTTTGAGAGAATAGAAACTTTTAGCAAACCGTTGCCGTGTTTCGTGTGCAGCACAACCGGAGCCTTTGAAGCTTCATTTTAAGCGCGCGTCCCGCGGTCACGGTACCACCCGGGCGCGCGCTTGAAAGCATGCTTTAAAGGCCCCAGTAGGGCGGTACGCAGAAAACTCTCGCGGTTTTCTAAACTGCCCTAATAAGGACTTTTAGGAAACCCTTACAGCAGTACAGGAGCCTTTGAAGCATGCTTTTAGGCTCGCGCTCCACGGTCACGGTATCACTAGGAAGATCGCTTAAAAGCATGTTTCAGAGGCTCAAGTACCGCGGCACGCGGAGCGCGGTAATGGTTCGCTAAAAGTTCATAATAAAAAAAATCACCGATGTATGGATTGTCAGTGCCTCTTCTCTGCATTTTAATTTTCTCTTGTCATGTTAGCAAAAGAAAAAGAGGATATATGGCATACCGACGGGAACGCTACTTCTGTGCGCGGCAAACGCTTATATCTCCCACCAAAACCTTTCGACAGCTGAGTTTACGTGCTTCCAATTTACACAAGGCTAAAGAGTCTTTTTAATGATACTAAGAACCATTCTCTTATTACACCCCCATTCATCTAATTCAATAGTAAGTGTTGAGCTCAGCGAATGACGGCAGGAAAATGCTTTAACCGTATTTCGCGATCCCGAGCTCTGGAGTCGCGCCTTTCAACATACTATAGATCAAACGTATCAATATCCTATTTAATTTTTTGCAAGATGAGCCTACAGGAATGCCTCGAAAGTACGCATGGCATTTCTGATGTTGGCAGTAGTTTTGGCGGTATGCTCGAGACAAATGTATAAACGACATCAATATAAGAAACGAGCTGTAATTAAAAACCTTAAAATAAAAAAAGAAACATGACCGTTTACAACCCATTACCATTTTCCCGTGCTTTATTATAATAATCGAGCTCCTTTGAGCGGTCGTTAATATAAATAAAAAATGTACATTAAACGTCCAAACATGTCCCGAAGGGCTCAACCTATGCCACGACCTGAATTATCGAGTGGTTTCTATTTGAAACTCATTACTGGTAAAAGTGCCGGTCGTCTACATTCTCAGCTTTGTCGCGATTTTATAGAGCTGTTTTTTCCGGAGTTAGGCCAAGCTAACCAGATTTTCTTGAACCTTCCCGACAGACATCCTAGAAAAGGCACCTTTCAAGGTGGAAAATCAGAACGTGACGGACAAGGTCGCCATCGCCTACCGAGCCTGCACCAACGAGTGTAAGTCTTCGAACGTCGAACAGCACGGCCACATGGGCCTCCATAGAATCAGAAGCCACAATCGCAATCTAGGAACATTCCTATATTGCAAACTAAAAAGTTGCGAATGCACGCAGAGCGATAGATGGGTCTGTTGCTTGATATTTAAAGATCCTGGTTTCAATCCGTATCATATTTTCCACCCACACTCTACATATAAACAATATACAAAAAAACGCAATCGGCCGTTTAATATAACGTTGCTGTAGTTGAAGGGAATAAATATAGGTGACAGGAAGCTGACAACTTTTAGTTATTGGTGACTGCGTCTCCGACGTTGAATCAAGTCAGTGCAGTGACAAGTCCACTTAGAATAGTAAAAGCATGCGCGCTGTCATTCTGACGTCATCACAGTGAGATCCTGCGAAGTCACAGCACATACAACAACGCAAGAGGACAGGAACATGAAAGAAATAGGAAAGGACAAAGTGCTGCTCACAACTGGTACTTTATAGAGAAAGACGAGAAGGAAACGTGATGTAACTAAATTAAACTATAAATAAGCCTTTTCAAATTAAAAAAAAACACCTAAAAATTGAGATAAATGAAAAACGAAACTACTTACCCGAGATGTCAAGCCACTGGAACAATGAAGCAAAGTGAACGGAATAAGGGAGAACAGAAAAAATGAAAGCCGTTTACAACTCCATGTAACGCAGAATTAGAGCGCAGCTCTTGAGAAGGAGGAGGGAAGGACACTGGGGGAGGTGGGTCAAGTGACCTCGGGTGGCGGGGGGTCACGTGACCTTGGGGGTCACGTGACAATGCTGATGACGTCATCAGTGACGTCATCAGTGATGATGACGATGACGATGCGGATGCCGGTGAGGTCACTAATGACGTCATCAGTGATGATGACGATGACGATGCGGATGCCAGTGACGTCATCCGTGATGTCACTGATGCCGTCATCAGTGGCGATGACGTCAACGGGGGTCACGTGACCTCGGGGGTCACGTGACCTTGGGAGGGGGGGTCACGTGACCTGGGTAACCATCGTGACTCTCGTGAGGGTAACCCTAGTAACCCTCGTGAGGGTAACTCTCGTGACCCTCGTGAGGGTAACTCTCATAACCCTCGTGAAGGTAACTCTCATAGCTCTCGTGACCCTCGTGAGAGTAACCCTTTTGACGGTAACTAACCCTCGTAACCCTCGTGAAGGTTACGAGGGTTAGTAACCCTCGTAATTCTCGTGGGGGTAACCCTCGTGAGAGTAACCCTCGTAACCCTCGTAACCCTCACGAGGGTTACGAGAGTTACTCGTGGTTACGCCGACGCCGACGGCGACGGCGACGGCGACGCCGCTCAAGCCGGGAACGGGCGCCTAAGAGCTGCGCTCTAAAACTGAAGGTCGTTTATGGCGGCGCCCATGCACAACCTCTGCGAAGCGCTCTATATGTCATGTTCAAATAACTAGCCCAGGAATTGATTTTAACGAAGAAACTGATTGGATACGAGTGTTACGTCAGTGCTCGGTTGGGCCTCGGGTCCAATCAACGCATCGAAGGACGCTCGGCATCGGACTCGGGTCCAGTTGCCGAGCAGCCGCGATTCGATTGTGATGACGTTCCGTGGAGGAAGAGCAGGTCGTTCGCAGGCCTCGACTGTTCTATAAGGTGTTGGCAGTGTTCACCCACCGGCCTGCTCCGAGAGTCAGTTTGAATCGTTTCTTTTTCTTGCGGTGTTTCGTCTTTCAACGTCACGTTTCTTTGGAATTATATTTTTTTTTTTTTCAAACGTATGCAACTGAATGTTTGACTTCCATTCAGCCCTTTCTAGGCATCTTTGGAACGCGTATCAGACAAGCGATAAATTCCGGGGCAGTGGACACATGTCGGCGGCTGATATGCAACAAAACTGCACTTGCTCAGAAGGCGTTCCGCAGTCCGATAGTCGCGTTTAAGACGAATATTGAAATGATTTATGCACTGCTCCGCGGTTGGCTGCAGCGCCTTACACGTGACCGGAAGGGCGATTCCCACCCACTAGTCTTGGATTGACATTTGCTCGGGGCACAAGAATATATCAACCGACCACCACTGTGGTGAGGCTTCTGCTTCAAATAGCGCTATTTCTGCACAAACTTAGAATACCTCGATGGTGGCGTCGAATTACACAGTAGGGACAACCTGTCGTCTGTTAGCGGAGCTTCTATCGTGCCTCTCACCTGAGGCTTTAGGTATGTGCGAAGCGATGAATTTGCCATATGAATGTATTGTTGACAGACTTATTGAGTATTATCACTCGTAAAAACTGGCGATTTTAAGTTTTCACTTTTTTCCCTACAGGTGGAATTTACTGGACGCCGATATTAGGCTCGTTTTTTGAAGCTAGGCTCGAAAGCAACTCCCACTTATCGTCTACCAAGAGCAACGTTCCCGATTGGGTCATCTTCATATTCGCACACGTCCAACGGAAGTTACACTTAATCAAGATCCTTGTTCCTGACAGATGATAAATGAGAGCTGGCTATGAGCAACACGCTCAAGCGTGTCGTCCAGTGAATACCATTTATCTAAAATTACCATCTACAGCGATAGCCGTTACGAGCTCCCTCCACTACTAAAAATTACGTCAGTTGTTGATGTTTTAGTTGGCGTATAGTAAGGTGTCCGTCGTCGATGTTGCCAAATCCTCGAAAAATATTGGCCGCCGCCCGAGGGAGTCGCACCTGGGTTCGCTGCGTGCGAAGCGGAGGCGTTACCTCAAAGCTACGCCATAGCTTCTTCTTTCTTTTTTTCTTATTGCGACAATGCAGACAGCGCAAGTCATTTCAGTAGATCTATCGCTAAATTCCCCAAGCTCAAGGAGCGTGCGCGTGTGTAGTAACACGCGCTGCGCGTAGTTCCTTCTGCAGCAGTACCTGTTCTAAAGTAACACTCGAAAACGCACGTCACATGGTACTTGGCACGCGCGTTCATCAACATCTTAGTTTGGTAGCTTACTTCAAATATTTATTACAGATGAGGCGTATGCGTGCAGCCCGTGTACCTACGTTGCCAACACAATTTTTGATGGTCGAGTAGTTTACCAAAAAGTCTATTTAAAAGTGCACAGCAAAACATTGCAGCACGCGTCAAAATCCTGGCCACTCGAGGAGAGGGCCTCACTGGCTCAGCTAGTATCACTAAGTAAGTTACGCTTCAGAGTAACGACATTTGGCCATCTTGTGGCTTAAAATCATGGTTGCCAGTTATCTGGAAATTTATCTGAGATCACAAGAAACGCTTTTCCGTTCTCCAGGAATGTTAATACAGTTCGTGACAGAGCAAACCAGCACTCTAAAACATGCCAGCATGTCTACTTACCCGGAAAGAACTCAAAGAGCCAATCTCTGCGATCTACGAAATCAGTTTAGCGAATGATGAGGGGGAACATCTGTTTAGAACTGAAAATTAAGTCTGCACTGCTGTATTACGCAACACAAGCATGACCCTTTGCATTGCGTAATGCCACAACGCAGACTTCATTTTTAGGTCTAGATGGATGTTCCGCCTCGTCATTCGCTGAGCTGATTTCGTAGTTTTGGGGTACACTCTAAAAAAAGTTTGTGCGTCTACTTTTACGCACAACACTTGGAGAGCCAATCACCGCAACTTACGGAGGCAGCTCAGCAAATGACGATGCCGAAACATATGCTTAGACCAAAAAACGCAGTCTGAGTTGTGACATTAAGCAATGCAAAACGTCACGCGTTCATTGCTCAATGTCACAACTCAGACTGCGTTTTTTGGTCTAAACATATATTTTGGCATCGTCATTCGCTGAGCTGCCTCCGTAAGTTGCGGTGATTGGCTGTCCGAGCGTTGTGCGGGAAAGCAGACTCACGGGCGTGTTTTAGAAAGTAGACGAGTGTTTTGGGGGTAAGTAGACGCGCAGGCATTGTTAGAGTGTAGACTGCATGAGCTTCCCAACAACGAAACTAATGCTGAGGAAGTCGCACTTTTGAATAATGACGATTAGCAGTTGCGTCTGCTCTGCACACGCAACAAGAAGGCGGCGCCCACAACAATATCGGGAGCTGAGTGCTGATACTCTAAGCGTGGCTCGTTTAGTGTCCCTGGGCCCAGCCATTCGCGCTTATGTTAGCGGGCCGAAAGACCATTCTCAACACGCCTCACAAACCTGAAAAAATAAAAAAATAAAACCGTACTTTTTTTGCATTGGCGTTGAGAGCTACGCTCCAGCCTTCACAGTCCGTTCTAATATAGGGTTCGTGTAGTACGCGATGCCCACTGCAGTAGGTCATATGCAAAATCCTTGCCAGCTATCATCATCATGTCATTAGGAACCGCCATATTGAGGGGTTCATCATATCAAAGATCACATCTTCCAGTTGTGGACGAGACGCATCTGCATTTAACTCGGGTTTCATGATATCAGGGCAGTTTATTTGTACACTCAACGGGTTGCTGTTTAGTTTCGGATCATAAAAAAAAAAAAAAAAAGACGGCCGCAAAATTCTGGAAAAGGAATTGTCAGCACCGAGGTCGCAAGACTCGTCACTCAAGCAGTGAACTGGGCCATCCAGGTCAGTGAACGGTATTTCTCGAAGACGTCCTGTGAAGCGTTTGAACTGGGCATGCAGCAGGTGATCATATTTTAGTTCTACGACTTCCACTTTGCCGGGACTATTGTTCTTCGGGCGAAACCGTCGGTGCGGGAACACCCCCAATATGGAGGAAATCTGACAATTGATCACGAATACACTAGATGGCGCTTCTTTTCGCACACGAGCTCGTGCCGAAAACGCGCTTTCACGTGCTCCGGAACAAGGAAGAAACAAAAAATGTTTGAAACGCGACACCCTGACATAACGCAGCTATGGCTCTGACTGCTCATTTTGTGATGTTCTGTCGCTTTGGGGCGATTTATATTTTATAACTTGCCAAGTGAAACCAATTTTCAGCTGCCTTGGCGACTTTCTGTGTGTCTGTCCTTCTTGCTTCCTCAATCTTGTG